GAATATCTAAAATTGTTGATCAGAAAAAATATAAAATTGAATCAAACAAATCAATTAAAATACAGAAGATTGACAGAAATGACGCTGCCATGCTTTTCAGTTTTCGGCTTTTCCATTTTTGTTCTTTTTTATCCAGTGTTTTGTCCAGTGTTTAGATGATAGTTGGAGTAGTCCCAATTTCCTGTTATTTATGCTAATTGGATGCGAAATACGGATTCATGTCCTTTTAGATAATTTATTTTTTATATATATATAATACACAAATAAAGACTCTTTTAAGGATCCCATAACTTTTTTAAAAATTCAGGGATTTTTTCTCGAGAAATGTATTTTGTAAAGTATATTTGGGTATTGTTTAATTTTCACACATTTACTCATACAAAACGTCATATATATTTTATAGAACGGTCTTTTAATATCTAAAAGTTTATATCTCCATTTATACTTTCAAATATGTTTCGGTGATGCAAGATTTAAAACATTGCATGATAACAAATAATGCATTATGGAGAAATTTTCATTCATACTAATTTTCAATATCAAATGAAATATTTGACATAAACTAACAGACCTGACATTTAAGACCAAAATCACAGGACTGAAAACCAGAATCGAGCAAATTTTGAAATATGGAATGCCTGTTTGCGCTACCAACTCGCCCAAGTAAGATACTAATAGTGTTCGCCAAAGAACAGAAAGAGTTATTATATTTGACGCGCTTAAAGGATTAGTTTTTAGTGATGCGTAAATTCCATAAGAACTACAAATCTTAAAAAAAATGCTCTGGGAATACAAAATAATACACATAAAATAGCAACAAAGCTTATCGACTCAAGATAGAGAATAATTGTATTAAAATAATGTAATATAAGGAAGTGTGAAGAGAAAAAAAAAATTTCTTGCCAAAACTGGCTAAATATTTTAAATATTTTGAATGTATAAAACATATTTGATAGATTTTTTGACAGTAATGATATTCATTTCCTTTAAAATTAATTTAGGAATTATAAGGAGAGAAAAAATGCGTACTTGAAAAAAAATACCATCAAGTCCAAAAAATTTATTTAGTGTAAAAATCATAACAAAAGTTTTTTTTTTTTTTTTTTGCAGAATATAATTTATTTTAGTCCCATATATATTCTTAACTACATCCTCTCCTTGACCAATACTTCCCCGAATCCTTTAATGAATATTTTCTCTGTATTTCTTCTAGCATCAGTTGTCTTACTTATATATAGCAAAAAACTTGTAGAAAGGAAATTCTATAAAATTGGATGATAATAATCAGCTAAAGTTTTATTAAAACTGGCAGGTTTTTAGCTTAGATTTTACTCTTTTAAAAGCAAATATAAAGCATAAAAGCTAATTTAAAGATTTTTAGACGAATAGTGAAATATCTCATACTGCCGTGTCTTTCTGAATTAGTTTGTCTTTAAAAGTTTTCGGTTTAATCATCGTTTTAATTTCTTCTACATGAAAAATTGTGATTCATTTCCGTATGGCAATGCCAGTATTTTTTAACAATTTTTATTTATTTTAGCGAATTTCAATTTGTGCTTCATTTTTAGATGCCATTACTTATATTTCCCTCTAAACTTCAAAAAATACCTCCTAAAGGTTGGAAACCACTATTATTCAGGAAACCACTGTTCTGCACAAGATTAAAAAATATGAGTTAGCAAATATTGTTCATCCTAATCGTATGTGGAATTGACAACTACTTTACACCAAAGTGATGTAGTGAAGCACCGTAACACACTATTTACTTTACCAATGTTCTTCTACCCTATTTTAAGTATAAAAGAACATTTCTTTACAGTATTTTAAGTGAAAAGGAACATTGATGTAGACTTTCTTTTACACTATTTTGTATAAAGTAGCCGCTGCCAATTTTGTTACTCCGAAATTTATAGTAACAGTAAAAAAAGATACGGATAAGAGTTTGTAAAATTATTTTATAATACAATACGAAGTAAGGTTCATTAATTTAAAATACATCTATACATTAATTCTTAAAATAAAATTAGTTTGTAAATCAAGCAAACGCGTAGCATGTAGAGAATCTTAGGACGAATTCGAACCAGGCTTAACGGAAGAGAAGCGGATAGAAATTGTCGATTATAAAATAAGTTAAAATAGATTTAGAAATTAAAGATTTAGAAATTAAAATATAACAATCATTATTGCACATTTAAAAATATACATACATATATTTCATCCATACATTTTAATGAATGCATTGAAAATTACAACGTATTAACTCTAATTCATTTCAGATTGAAAATATACTGCCTGCGAAATTTTACTTGGATTGATACTATTCAAAGAACGCCAACATTGGTGTTTTTGAATGGGAACATAATTCTCGTACGGTGAGAGAGAGTGACATTAATTACTTGTAAATTATACTATTTTAAGTCGTATAAAAACTCTCAGTTTGTTGTTTACCCGAAATAAAATGTTTATTTTTTTCTCTTTTTCTTAGAGTTGAGCACGAATTATTTTCAAGTTGATCAACATCACATTCAGAGAGATATTACACCTCAGTTTTAAAAGTGTAGATACAATAACGATACAATAGATACAGTACAATAGATACAATATTATAGTAGATACAATAAAAACGGCAAAAAAATTGTGTTTTTTCCTATCCCTTAATTTTGGCATTTTAATTTCCTGAACACTATGGATTCTAAACACTTCGAGTTTCTAAAGTATAAGTTCTCAAAAATAGCAATATCGATTTATACTATATTTATATTTGAGATAAACTCTGTATAGTTGTTTTTTTAAATAATCAAAGCGTATTTTGATACAAATATATTTCTTGAAGACCTAAGGCATGGAAATTTAAAACGATCAACTTTGCGCACCTTCTACACTGTAAGACAATTTAATGTAACCCAAAAACTGGTGGCAATTTTTCTTTCACCAAAGTGACGCAATAAACACAATGCTCTTAGTTCCTGGTGCAAAGAGTGTTCTTTCACTCTTTTGGGCATGAAGTAGTTGCCTTTATTTCTTTAATTCAGTAGACATAAAATTTATAATCACAATAATATATGCTTCGCACAAGCGCTAGTAAAGTTAGTTCAGAATACAAAATAAAGTAAGAACAGTTAGTTAAAGATGAAAGTGAAAAACAGTGAAAAAGTAAACAGAAAAAGAAAATTGCACTGTAAGACATTTTAGCCTATCTTATCAAAAATGGTATTAATATTTTTTATCTTTTTGCTGCAAAAATGAAAGCTTGATTTGGTGTTAAGTTTTCCTTCACACACTTTTTGTGATTTTCAGGACCATAGTGTCTCAATTGGAAAAATCATTTTTCGTTGTTGTTGATGATTGTACTAGAGGTGTTATTTTTTGGGGTATTTCCTGAATATTTAAATTTACATAATTAATATTTTTTTTCGTAGGGTGTTTTTATGTAGAGTATTTTTCATGTATTTTTTTTTCACTAACTTTGCTTGTTTTTGTCCGTAGATCTTGAAACTTGCTTCCTTTGTAAAAGATAAATTTTATAATTTTATGAAAATGAGGTCACCTATATTGCGTTTACCTTCTTTTACTTTAATACCAAAACAATACGTGTTTTAGAAACTAAAAAAAGATCATAAAGTAAACATTTGGCAGCGCGATCCACAGCTATTAAAATTAACTGAAATATTTTTGTGATGCTTGTGGGATTTTACAGAAACACAAATATAAATTTATTATTTTTTTTAAGAAGCGGATATTTATGCAGTTGAGGAAATAAATAAAATGTCCCTATGGCATTAGAAAAGTTCTTGTATATAAATAATGTTACATTTACGGATTATCATTGATTGATTAAGATTATTTGTGCTTTTGAGAAATCAAATATAATTCGTATTAAGAGAAAATATATTCTGCACTAAAACTATTTTCGGATTGTGAAATTGATTCTTTACAGCATATTTTAAGAGGTTTGAATAGTTATAGATATTCATACAGAGCTTTGCTGGTAATTACTCGTACATTTCTACGTATTATTTTGCATAGATGTTTTAAAAATAATATTTATTATAATAATATGAGTAATTTTTTGTACTTTAACTACTAAATAATTTTAATTGAACTCGTGAGCATTTTATCACTATTTAGTATTAAGAACTATATATTTTTCAAGACTCACTGTAGATATTTTATCCTCCACTAATTTAGAAGATAATTATCTCCTTCTTTTTAAATTTTACGTATGTGTTGTTCTTCTTCGACAATGCTGAATATACTATCGATTGTATACGCTAAATATTCGACTAATTTTGTAGTGTGTATGATTTTTTTAAAAACATGAAAATAATTCTTGTAACCATTTACATATGATATTCCTACTGGTATTCTAATAGCAAATCTTAGTATAAATTCTAATTTTAAATATTCTAAGTGTTACAATAATATATGCATCACTCTTATTTATCATAAAAACTTGTCTCATTTACAAAAAGATTGTTTCGTTGCAACATTACTTTTGTATTTATAATATCGTCTGAATCAATTTAATATTTACGATTATTTACTTAAAAATATAAGTTTTTCTATTGTTTCCATTATTTAGTTACAAATATATAGATAATATACAAAAATTGGAGAAAATTTTTTTTGAAATGAATAGCGTTTTCTGAATCTTTCTTTTTTACAATAAATTATTTAAATTATAAAAAAATGAGAAATAAAAATAATAATTTTTAAAATATATTTACATTAAACTCACTATGAGGAACAGAAGCAGAAAAAAATAATATTAAGCAAAACATAACTAATGAATGGAAAACAAATTTAAAAAATACACTTCAAGTATTAATGTTTAGTAATTTGTTAAGGCAATTTCATGTACCTAACCATTTGCATTCTGAATATTGAAAAGTTTTGCAATGAATCGAACGTTAAATTTATATATATGTATATAAATGTATCTGAAGGTAAAAGAATAATAATAATTAAAATTACAACTCAACTAAAGCAAAATTCCTTACCTTTTAAATGAATGCTTAGCACCAGTATATAGAACAACATTTTTCCAATCATCATGAAACTATTTGCTTCACCTTATTTTTATAAGTTCAAATATTTGTTTTTAGTGTTCAAAGTAGCTTACTTATTCAAAAAAAAATTCAATGTTTTTCTTTCCAAAAATGTCCATTAATGTTCTTGTAAAATACTGTTTATGTTATAATATTTTTGGCGAATATTAACAGATTTATATGTTCATATAATTATAATATTTTCAGGAAACATAAAAAAATGAACGCATTTGCCTACTAATGCGCATAAAGGCACTGAATGACCTCTCAATTACTAAACTTAATGAGAGGAGTAATATTGGCAATCTCTTAGATGCAGAGCTTTCTCTAATACTGTAGATGAGGGCGAAAAGAGCCGGTTGTGCGTGCTCAAAGATCTCCCACTTCATGGTCATGTGATCGGATGGGGATGCGCAGTATACTCTTGCTGTTCTTTTTTGGTGTAGTGAGATCCATCGGACGGCTTCACTTACTTTTTGCCCTCGAATCCTTCATGTGCTTCAATCTTTGATTTAAAAACTAAAGGGTACGTGAAATTCCGATTCGTCAGGACATGCCCTATTTTTTAAGCATTAATATTTTTAATGCGTTATTTAAAACATATATTTTATATCTTGTAACATTTTTGCGAATAGTTGGAATAAAAAGAAATTACACTTATATACATTAGTGATTGAAGAAGTTACACTTTAATACTATTTAGACACTTATGAAATAAATATTACTGAAATATGCTACATTTTTAGTAATGTTTAATTCATTAAAACTCAATCAGTCAACCTTCACAGCCTTAAGGGGTTCAGAGTAATTTTTACGGAATGCCAGACAAAATACCTTTTTTATCCACTATAATATCACTACTGATTTTCTGACAAGTTTTATCTGATTTTAAATTCATCCTACATATGTGATGGAAATGTTCAAGGATTGGTGTATTAACTTCTCTGGCTTAAAACTTAGCACATATACATTTTTCTATTGTTTCTGCTATAACTTTTTACGACGGAAATCTAGTTGACCGTAAACAGTATTCGCCATCTGAGCAGAAATAGTCTTTACCAAAAGGTTATAATGAAAAAAATTAGCAAAATTAAAAAAAAACAGCTTTTTAATGTATCAAAACAATTAAATGGCTATTATAAAGCTGTTTTTTTGAATAATGACCGTTTAAAATAAATTCTTGGCCGAATTAATATTTTTAAAAAAGAATTAATACATCAGATATTAATCTAAACAGAATTAATGAAAAAAATATTTATTATATTTACGTAGAACATAGCATATTGGAAATAAAATGTTCGCAAAATTAGAATTAAAGTGGTTTTATGCTATATGCTCCAGTTGATCAACATTTTTGTACCTGACGCTCTGAATTTTGAAGCTCTGCACTTAACGTTCTTTTGAAAATACATTATCATGGACGTAAATGCTTTCTAAGTTGGTAATATACAAATTAAAAATGCATTTTAATTTATTATGAACTAGAGGAGTCATAGTTGATACTTTTGTAGAAAAGAAACCTTTTTTTATTGCTTTGTATTCAGATTTTGCAAAAAAATTTAAAATTTAATAATATAAAAAAGAGGATCAAGTTCATTGTTTGCACATGAAAAACATACAAAAAATACTTTCGTACGTAAGTAAAGTTTTTATTTGAAATGCTTCAAAATTTTTTTGTAAAAAAGAGAAGATAATTTCTAGCAAAAAAAAGAAGATAATTTCGAGCATTTTACGTACATTTTATAGCAAGTAGTACAGATTTTGAACTAACCAAACTAAAAGAATGAATTAATTAAACTCAAAAAATTATTAATGCATCATGTTAATGAAATAACTTTGAAATATCATGAAAAGTTGAAGGATATGTAAGTTGTTTCATCTGGAATTTTTTTTATGTTTCAAATTTGATGCTCAATTAGAAACTAATTATATATATATA